TGGCTCATGCCTGTAATCCTAGCTACTCAGGAGGCTGAGATGTGAGGATTGCAGTTCAAAGCCAGCCTAGGTAGGAAAGTCCATGAGACTATTTCCAAGAAGTGCTGCTGTGGCTCAAGGTGGTAGAGTGCTAGCATTGAGCAACACTAAAAAAAAAAAAGCAAAAAAAAAAAAAATTCAGCACCTAGGTCCTGAGTTTAAGCCCACAACTGACGAAATCCTTATACAAATGTGTGTGTCTTGCATTGGTTAGAAGCGCAGATGAGGGTAGGCGGGGCCAGGCTCTGCAGGCTGAGTGCTCCTTCCTGCTCCTCCTCCCTGCTGGTTGGGGCTGTCCCCAGACGCTCCTTAGTCCACTTTGAGAGGCCCCCCCACAGGTGTCTGAGTGCAAATTCCTGTCTCCTTACAAAGACACTTGTTACAATGGGCTCAAGTCCCCCACCCCACCCCAGACCCAGCCTGACTGACCCAGATCATACTACGTCGAAGGAGCTAGTAACAGACTGACCTTGTATGCCTCTCCACTCTTGTAAGAGGCAACCGAAACCAAGCATTTGCTGGGTCCTGTGAATTAACTAGAAGTATCTGTGCCCTTTGATCTGAGCTAGTCTCCGTGGAAGTCACTTTGGAATCACCTCGGGGTCCGGGGAGAGGGGAGATTCAAGCCTGGCACTGGTGGCTCATATCTGTAATCCTGTCCACTCAAGAGGCTGAGAGGTGAAACCAGCCTCAACAGACAAGTCTGAGAGACTCTGATCTCCAATTCAGCACCAGAAAGCTGGAAGTGGAGCTCTGGTTCAAGTGGTAGAGTGTGAACCTTAAGTGAAAAAAGCCAAACAAGAGTGCAAGGCCCAGTACCCACACAGAATAAATAAACAAGTTCATGATAAGTATCTTATGTGGATGCAAATGCAAAGCCTGCTAATCATCTTAAAGGAAGCAGCCCCAAGCTCCGGACTGTTCTGTGCCTGTAGTAAAGTGATAGCATCCTGGAACTCCCCCAGGGACCAAGCCTGTGATGAGGTCAGTCAGGCCTCACCTGTGACCTGGGACTGTCTTCACCCTGGGTGCCTTTCTAACCCTCTGCCCCAATCCTCCCTATTTAACCTGAAGCCAATGTCTTGTACCAAAGGTGGCTGAAGATGTACTTGAAGCGCTGTCTCTCCACAGCTGCCGTGAACAGGTTTGTCTCTGCCCTTCACCTCATCTCTTATTTGACACATTGAGGCAAGTCGCTGGAAGTGACTTGGGACTCCTGGCCTTAGGGCCTTGGGTCTAAAAACCTGGCTTCATTTCGACCAAACAAACTGGCAGAGATTAAAAACGAACAGGTCTGCATTTTTATTTGAAAGCTCCCTGCTTGCAGCCCTGGTTTCACAAGCCCTCACTCATTTGTGCAAAGCTTCTGACCAGCTGGCCTTGGCCTGAGCCCCCAGGTCTCCCTGTGGTGTCTCCTCCCATTTCCTCCTCCAGCCTCGGACACCCTGCTCCCGCCCCAGGCTTTGCAATGAGTTGTCAGCCCAGAACATTCCTCCCCAGAACAAAATGTGGCCCTCCAGTATCTATTCAAATGTCACCTGCCTTGGGGGCCTCGAAGCTGCACCCCGTCATTCCAAACTCCCAGGGCTGAGGCAGGAGGGCAGCAAGCTCAAGGCCAGCTTGGCCAGAGAGTAAACCCTGCGTCAAAAAGAAGAGAGAAAGAAAGAAGCGCACTGGTGGTTCATGCCTGTAATCCTGGCTACTGAGGAGGCTGAGCTTTGAGAATCACAGCTCAGGCAAGAAAGTCCAACTCATCACTGAAAAGCCAAGTGGTGGAGTGCCAACCTCGAGCACAAAAGCTCAGTGCGTCGCCCAGGCCCTGAGTTCAAGCCCCAGGACTAGCACCAAAAAGTAACAATAGATACATTAATGCAAATAAGTAAGTCCGAGTCTCCTGTCCCCAGACTCTCTGGCCCCATACAGGGCCGTCCCCTGCAGTGCCAGCCGGCCAGGCTCTGCTCTTCCTAGCCATGCTCACTAGCCAGGACGTCAGGAGGCCACTCCCCGGGCAGCAGGGGAGGCGGAAGGCGATGCTTGGAGGAGGCTGGATCTCCAGCATTGACTGGTGATGCCAGCGGGCCACGCTGGGGAGGAGTCGGCTGTACCGGTGGGCTCCTCCTCAGGCCTGGGGCCTGGGGTAGCCCTCGGGCCTGGGATCATCCACAGGCCTCCAGCCTGCGCTTGTCCACACAGCCACCAAAGGGGGGGGGTCATTGAAATCCCTTATTTTCCAGACTGGGTCTTATATGTGGCCCAAACTGGCCTCCCACCCATGGCCTTCCTGCCTTCTACACATGGCTGGACTACACTGCGCTGCCGGACTGGACATCAGTCATCCAGACTCCGGTGACCATGACCTCCTCAGTCATCCAGACTCCAGTGACCGTGACCTCCTCAGTCATCCAGACCTCGAGTGACCCTGACCTCCTCAGTCATCCAGACCTCGAGTGATCGTGACCTCCTCAGTCATCCAGACTCCAGTGACCGTGACCTCCTCAGTCATCCAGAC